AGCAATCCCACCTACTCCTTCGCCTGGATGAAGTCGGCTGGTCTTAAATGTGAAACTGAGGGCTTCCTTTTTGCTGCTCAGGACCAGTCACTTCCCACCCGCAATCGCCTAAATGTGATTCTGAAATAAAATATCAATATGAAATGTCGACTTTGCAATGAATTCACAGAGACTGTCCAACACCTTGTCCGTGGATGCCCTTCCTTGGCACAAACAGCATATCTTAAACGACATGATGGCATGGCTCGTTGCTTTTATTACCGTCTCAGACATGCCTGTGGCTTTGACTCCGAGGTCCATCCATGGTACGACCCTGAAGATGTCCAGGGCGTCATGGAAAATGATGCTTTCAAACTTCTCTGGAATAGGCCCATATACAGCCTCAGAAGAATTCCAGCCAACAAACCTGATCTCGTCCTTTTTGATAAAGCCAATGAATTTATTTATATCATTGAATTTTCTGTCCCTTTTGACACCAGTGTGATTGGCAAGATTCAGGAAAAGCATGATAGATATGTGGACCTCGCCTTTGAAATATCTCGCTTGCATCCCAAGTACACTGTGGGTTCTCGGTGGGTTCGACTAGGCAGCGTTTCCTGGGAGAAGTCCCATTCGCTGTCTGGGCTGATGATGAGCCTTACTAGCCCGACTGTGCCAGGATCACCCGAACCCTCTCTGCTGCATACTATCTTTAATCTGTAAAACATAATAATAATATAACTGCAAAATGTTTTCATGACCCCTATATTCTACACGGATAACATGTAGAATATGAGTGCCATGAAAGAATTGTATATTCTTTAGAACCACAGCCCCAGTAGACGAATATACCCATAAATGTGCTACCGTGTAACTGCTTTTTGTGGTTTAATGATCACTTGGTCGCCTGGGAGGATTTCTATTGTGCGGCATCAGGCAGACAAACACTTACTTCATTATGCCATTGGTGTGAATGGCTGGTGCTAATAGTAGGGCAGGACATGCTTACCATTTTCATGAACACCTGGTGTCATCACTGATTTTCAGTAGTCAATTCATACAATTTTTGCTGCTACTTTACCTTTTACACGAAATAGATTCTCTCTGAAGACATTCTCTCGCAATGTCATGTTATATTACATGTGCGCTCTGCCCTGGTTTGTGCGGCGTCGAGCACATGTAACTTTGTGGGGAAGGACATTCTTACCCTTTTTCCGATTATGAGGCATCATTTTCAGTTCTCTTTTCATATATTTGTCTGCGCCATTAACCTTTCATTATCCCAATGGCTTCTGTTTCGGCAGACAACCGACACAAGTAACTATTGTTCTCAAGCGCTGACGTTTCACATTTCGAAAACAAAATTTAACACGTTATATAATCCTTCATATCCTTTGTTTAAGAAAACTAAGAAGACACCATTTTAAACATAAAGAGTTATTACAAAACATATGTTCTGTTAAAAAAGCTCGCATCAAAAGAATATTCCTGTGAATTTATTTTGGCAAATTAGCATTTGTGTCTTATCGTCGGTAATAGTGATATCCCCATGAACATTCATCACCATTGTAAAGGTGACAAGAGGAAGTACTAATACATGGGTTCAAGGTATCAAATACAATACACATATGGAGTAAGTAATACTAGAGTAAGTTCGGTAATACTGGGTGTATTATTACGATAATGCCTTATCATATACCCATATAGAGTATACGCGTTCTTGTACCTATCCGGGTACATCTACACAGCATACACAGCACGGGTGGTAACCCGGTGTATTAGTAACAACAAACAGGACTTAACATGTGCCACATGCCACATTAGTTATCGTATGGAATTGATTCTCCTCGTCAATAAACAATGCATTTGCATATAAGTAGGGTGGATGACCGTCCGAAATTCACAGCTTCCTACAAGACAGTAACTGTTAAATTGGACAGACGAGTTCTTATTAGGCGTTCAACTTTGACTGAAAAAAAAGCCAACTGTTTTCTTTCCGCGTAGTTTTAGACGATTTAATTAAATATGAGGGAGAAGGGCAGGCTGCGGTTCTGGTGTCGTTGTTCGAACGTCTGAGTCGATCATTGCATGGAATTACCTTTGGGTAAGATCAATACTTTGTATTCTGTCATGAAATGAATATTTCCTGAAGCATGGTTGAAACAAACAATAACCGTATTCAAAGTCCGACTTTACTTTTATTAAGCATATGAGTCTGTCTACCGAGGATATGTGTATTTTACTCCATCTGGAAAAATACGTACACGTCTGAGTAAATGTCTGCACGGGACTGGGAGGTAAGAAGCGTTACCGAGTTCACATATAGCTAATGACCCCCAATACTTCCACAACAAACTGTACAATAAAGCTCTAAAATGTACAATAAATCTATTGCAATAAATACAACAGCAAAACATGTTCCCACAAACACAATTTGGGAAAAGACAATATTTTCCATGCAAAGTTTAAGCGAGAATCATAATTAAATGAAAACATAAATCAAAATTGGTTATAGTTGCCTTTCTAAATATTTCCTCCCATCGCACGAACACACAAGCGCGAACACACACACACGCACATATGTTCACAATTCCACACTAGGCGTCTTGTTTTAGTTGAAATTGACTTGTTCGAGTTGAAACGTGTTTGATACGGAAACGAAGTGATTTTGGTAGCTAAACATAATGCAATTTCCAAAATAAAAACCCCAAAACCCCAAACAAACAAACAACGCACACACACACACGCACGCACGCACGCACACCCTCTCTCTCTCTCTCTCTCTCTCTCTCTCTCTCTCTCTCTCTCTCTCTAATACCACACACACACCTCACCACCATCCCTCCCGCTCCACTCACACGCTTCCTCATTAACTAATCATGAATGCAGCAATGAATCGTTGAACACAAGCATATTCGTCCAACTGGAAAATGTTTACTTGCAAGGCTACATACTCTTCACACGTCACCTGCAGTATGCCTCACTCAAGGCGATCTACCTCGCCTACAGTCGCTCATATATATTAAATGCTCACTACCATTTCAATGGAAGAGAAGTTTTCGCGGAAACAGCCCTGTTCTCGGAAGTCGTCTGGCTATTTAAAGATCATTGTTGCGCGGGACGTCGGAGATAGTGTCTTTGCTCCCGTGCAATAAAAGAATGTGATCAACACAACGTTGTCTAATCTCTGAATCGTTTACGAATACAAACAGCAGAGCTCCAGATAAGATTTAGCTCATGTGGGTACTGTACCCACTGTATTTTTTTGGAGTGGGTATTATGAATGTTGAGTGCGTATTTCATTTTCCGTTACCCACTGCTTTCAAATATGTGCGTATTTCAGTTATTTTACTCACCTAAGTATATGTCATTGAGTAAGTTTATTAAGCAGGTATGTTCTGCCTTATGTCATACCTAATCAAAACCAACTTTAATATAATGGAAATGATTTTATAAAAAATCACTCATCCTGTACTGACAGTACTACACTAGTCCTATACTAACAGTACGACTTGATAGCAATCGATGTCTTTTTCATTACGCAAGCGATTTTTATAAATATATTCCGTACGCATTTGTTTTAAACTTTTTTGCGTATCTAACATTTTAAATGCGTAATTGGTACGCAACAATTATTTTTCAGTGCGTAATGGGAAATTTTCTATGCGTAGTTTACCCGGATACGCAGCTTATCTAGACCTCTGCAAACACATCACACAGGGACCATGCCCCATACCGCGTCAGGTGTCCGCCCACCATCGTGCAGCAACAACGAGTCGGTGTGCAGCAATAGCCAGTATACACGGAATCGGTGATGCTTCAGTGCCATTTCATTTGTAAATATTCAACAACCTTCCCCAATATGTCTAAAAACTTCTAAACTCACATACATAAATATGCTCGCCTGTTATTGACTTAATTCGAAGCTCCTTCTATGCAAATGGCTTCCAGTGTAAAACGAAAGAAGAAAATATGGAGACAACTGATCATTTTCTTCATTTCATTTAATCTAAAATAACATTAGCAGCATTTATAAAATTGTATTGCTACTTGAACCGTTGACAATTGCCCCTATATACACTACACCCATACATACATTGTATAAACAATGTGGGTTTAATTAGATAATGTAGTATTGTTTTATGGCTGTAGCCGTGACGAAGCTTTCCTTGTTGCAATTCCAAATGTCGAAGGACAAGCAAGTTTTTGTGACTTTTGTGATATGTTAGTTATCGTGAAATGATGTTGAATCTTTTCAGTATTACAGTGGGTTTTTTTTATATTTATGCATTTGCTTCCAGTTACACTGGTTTTCTATAAAGTTTCCCAATGTTTGCAACCATTTCACTTGTCCAGTGGATAGAACACTTTCTGGAGAAATTATGTTAGGTATTATAAGATGGTACTTATTGTGGACCTGCCTGGCCGAGAGTTAAGGAGATAAAAGGACTGGTCGGATCGATCATAGTCGGCGAACTGTCTTTAAGCAGCGTAACCTCGTTACACATACATAAACAAAGTCAATGAGAAGGACCAGTGTTATAATATCACGTTAACGTTATAATGTTATGTTGTGTTATGTATTTCAGGCTGTGGGATAGTACGGAGGTTCGTCATGCATTTGAGTATATACTTCCTGGGTTACCGCTCTGGATAGAATGGCCTTCACTAGCTCAGGCTTACAGTAGAACGTGAATAGATCGGGCTGTCAGGCATGTAAATGTATCCTAGTTGTTCGGGTCCATGTTCATCATAATGTACAGACCCCGTCTTGTAGCTGTCGACAGCGTTAAACAAGGAACACACAAACTCCTTGCTTATCACATCTTGCTTTGACATATGAAGTCACTTGTGTTTGTCGCCATTTTGTCTAGGTGGCAATAGATATACCCCAAATCAATAAGCAAATGTTACCGCCCCTGCCTGTGGGAATGGTTGAGCTACATTCGTGTGTTTCACCCTCAATATAACAGGTACTTCTTACACTACATCAGAAAACTGCCACATTCCTGATTCCTTACCTGTCTCTGAGATTTATCTCGCATCGAACGAAATAGTCTGTAGCTAAGTACAGAACTGCGCATGTCCGCTTCACCTCGCAGTATTGACTTACAGTATGACAACATGTCTGGGTAGCCGAGCATGTCATGGAAACAGCTACCCCACGTTCAACCCCATTCACCTTTTACACACACACACACACATGCAAACACATATATATCCATACACACACATACACACACATACATACATACATAAATAAAAGGTGAATGGGGTTTAACGTGAGGTAGCTGTTTCCTTTGAGCTACATAGCAACGGGAAGGCACACATCTATAGGTGGATGCAGAGGGGGGTGGGGGTGCTTACAGTGCTCCCCCCTTTTGTCCTGAAAGTTAATGATCTGACAATTTTCAAACTCTCTCGTGAAAACGGGTGAAAATGAACTGTGCACCCCACCTTTCTCAAAATGCTGTATCCGCCCCTGTCACATATATGTCCGACTACCCGTATTTGTCCGGACTTATGTATTTTTGTGCTTGTCAACCGATTTTAACATTAATAATGCACTGCAAATGTCAGTACCCTGTGTTATTCCCCTCCCCCGAATGATGGCGGGGTATAGGTAGAATCTTTTGAGACGACGCAGACAGATGTTTGAATACTAGCATTCTGGTCATCACTGACCAGATCAGGGTCCCGATTCACAGAGGGTTCGTAAAGTTACGACAGGTCGTAATCTATAGTTTATCATAGGCTTACGAATGTCGTAGCGCTACGAACGTTTTGTGGATCGGGACCCCGAAGCAACATTTATCAAGTCTACACTGACTACACTGACTAATGCCGATTCGTCACCCACGATGTTATCGTTCTCAATCGGCCAGTTTTTGTTTATGTTTTCCTTTTCTACGCAGTATCTACTGTAAACCTATGTAATGGACGATGTAGAGACTGTAGACTTACGTATAAGCGCAGATAACACAGTTCGATTGAGCACCCGTTGTTGATACGGTTTCACCATGTATTGGCCGATTTGCTACGTTTAAATCACTTTTCTGCGGCGATATATCTACGATTCACTCCCTATTCCTCACGATGCTCGCCGACACAGTGATGTAAACTTACGATATCGAAGACTCATTGCCGTAATTGCCGATTACACGCGAAGATTACCGATCGACGCCGAGTAAAGTATGTATAATTGCCGAGTAAGACACGTAAAATCGGCCTCCAAACCACAAAATGGACCCGATTCTGGGCTATAAAAGCTGACGATGACAAGCGATTTTAATTATCTAGCAACCTGCTCACAGCTGCATAACTACTTCTTCTGCTGCAACAACATATGGGATTGGATTGGAATGACATATGCTTGCCCGAACCTGAACCATTGCCAAATGATGTTCTCGATATGCCTTGCATATGATGCATTGCCCTTCGTCAAATGAAACCCTACTCAAGAAGAGGTCTGTCAGAAGAGCAAGGATAGTCGTGGAGAATGACTTTGGTATTCTTGCAAATCGATGGCAATGTCTTCTCAACACTTTGCAACAGGGTGGTGGGGTGGGTGATCGCACCCTCTTCCTGTTGGCTGTTCTCTTTGTTCTTGCGATGTTCCAATGTTTTCATTAAAGCAGTTGCACTTTGAGTGATGTTGACTTCGATCGCCTGTGCTCTTATACTTTTTCTGTCAGTCTGATGTGAATCGTGCAAATCGTGAGTATAGCGTGAACATTACGTAAGTGGATCTTGTGTTATTTGGGAGGAATCGTGCTGATGCGTTGCTTTGACAGCTCTGCTTTGTTAGGCAATTAGCTTGTCGGTTCCATGTTGGAGATGTGTTTGGCGTTAATCGTGGTTGATCGGGTGTGAAGCGTGGCATTACGGGGATGACACGTGGCCGTTTCTGCCTCTCAATAATGACTCGTTCACGCTTACTATGCAGACACACTCACGTATCTTGCTTATCTCTGCCGACTACTCCAGGTATATTTCCGACATTATACAATCGCTGGCGATTTTTTTCACAAATGCAATCGGACCGATCGCAGCCCAGTGAAATGGGGGTATTACAACATAAGAACCCGATGAAGACATTTTTTAAACAAATATTCCTTGCAATATATTTAGCAGTGTCAGCTATGACAGCGCACCACTCAAACTGTCATTCTTTGAGCTGAAAAACAAACGATTTATATTGTCTTTTTTCGTGTGCTTTGTACATCTGGACATAGTACATAATAAGTTGAAGCTAGTGCTTTTGCGATTCCGTATGGAATCCTGGAAGGGACATTGTCGCGTTGTCGCATTGTCGCGTTGTCGCCCTCTCAAATACAAGCAAAATTAAACAAAACGCGACATGTGATATCGCAACAACGCGACATTTCGCCCATTTGTCGCATTGTCGCGATGTCGCGTGTCGCGTTTTGAATAATATATTTTTTCATTCCTCCAAAGGGCGACACGCGACATAGCGACAACTTTCAAGGTCAAAATATGTCGCGTTGTCGCGCATCGCCCTATGTAAGATGTGTAAAAACAGCCTAAAAATTTACTAAAACGCGACACGCGACAATGCGACAACGCAACATTTTGATGAAATGTCGCGTTGTCGCATTGTTGCGTGTCGCGCTTTGTTAAAATATTGAGTATAGTATGTATTATAACATATGACTAAGACGCGACAATGCGACATATTTGTCGCATTGTCGCGTCGCGTTTTCGCCCTTTCGATTACCTGTGTGCATGTGTAGAAAGTCAATTAGTCTACGCATGCGCAGACAATGTTATACTCTATTTCAGACTTCACTGGCCTTTTGTTACCTCTAATGGTTTTTACAATGTAGTAGTGCTCGTAATGGCAATGGGGGCTGCTTTTCTTGAACTTAATGGAAATCTTTCATTGTTGCTTCATTATTTTATATATTGTAACTGTGTTTAGCCAATCAAGTGTGTTTTAGCAGCCAGACAAATTATTAGCGCTACTATTCATTGTAATCACGGCACACGGTGGCCCTGTCATTCAAGGCGAGGCAATTTGCTATGCAGGGTTGTGTCTCTTAGTCACACTAGATAACTATGATCATAGGTTCGAATCCCAGCACCATACATATTCATCACTTTGAACATTTCACCTATATCAAGCTCACAGGTTGTGAAAAAACTCAAATATTGTTAAAATTCAGGCCACATCGGCATAAACATCAGGTGAAGTCCTCCAATGGGTCACTATGTTCGACAGTGTGGCTCCTGACAGAGTTTCTTGGTACAGTCCTGTCCGACGCTGATGAATTTGTCCGACATCTGCCTCTGTTCAACCAGCAGTGGATGGATACCAGGTAGAATGAGATGGTAATATCATTTAACCATCCAGCACCTCAAAGACAGTTTAGGTCGGCTTTGAACGTGATATTCTTCTTGGGAAAACGCCATACAAATGGACTGTTATCATTATGGTATTAGAAACGATGAAATCGCTTAGCAGAGTTGCGTACCCTTGGAGTGGCAGAAACCAACCCTCCCTCTCTCAGTCCTCTCGCTCCGCTCCGCCCCACTCTGCTCTTCTCCAGCCCGCTCTTCCCCGCTCCGCTCCTCTCCTCTCCTCTCCTCATCTCTCCTCTCCTCTCCTCTCCTCCTCCTCTCCTCATCTCTCCTCTCCTCTCCTCTCCGCTCCTCTCCTCACCGCTCCTCTCCTCTCCTCTCCTCTCTTCTCTTCTCTCCGCTCCTCTCCTCTCCTCTCCTCTCCTCTCCGCACCTCTCCTCTCCTCTCCTCTCTCCGCACCTCTCTCCTCTCTCTCCTCTCCGCTCTCTCCCTCTCCGCTCCTCCTCCTCTCCACTCCTCTCCTCTCCTCTCCTCTCTACTCCTCTCCTCTCGGCTCTTCTCCTCTCGGCTCTTCTCCTCTCCTCTCCTCTCCTCTCCTCTCCGCACCTCTCCTCTCCGCTCCTCTCCTCTCCACTGGTAAATTAGCAAGATATTTCATTACAATAATGTGTTGTGATGTCTGTTTTTGAATTCTATTTGAATCCTATATTATTTATAATAATAATTATATACCAAGCGATACACATGTATTTGTATCTTTTCAAACATACACCTACTAAATCAAAATAATTTTCAGCAAAATGGCCAGTTTCAACACATCCATTCCATTTACCAAGAACTCTTAACCCACAGACTTCACGGCCACATTTATTATTACTCGAGTTCGATCCCTCTGTATCTTAGCCCTTTAAAAACATCTAAACATAATCATCCTTGTAATAGTTTTGAAATTCCGCGGTAACTAATAAAACACGACACACCAATGCGACAACGCAACATTTTGATGAAATGTCGCGTTGTCGCATTGTCGCGTGTCGCGCTTTGTTAAAATATTGATTATAGTATGCATTATATAACCACAGGAGTTTGAATCACTGTTAGGACAATACAAATAAAAATCTAGACTTTTGCAATCGTATATTGTTCTTTTTTATGTTATGATTAACCTATATTTCAAATTTGAACGAGATCTGTGAAGAAATGAATTTTTAAGAAAATTCTACCGCTACACTCATTACATACAATACTCAAAGGGTGACACTCGCAATGCTCAAAACCTTATCGAAAACCGGACAGCCCGACTGTTTTAACGTGCGGTTCAATCAAAACTTACGTTTTTCACAAAACATTGTTTTGAGCTTGTAGGTTATTCTTTTACCTTTCTGCTCATTGTATTCAATTTGTCTACCCGCTTTTGATATTTGAACACTGACCTTCGCATTAGCACTACCCTCTGCTTTGAATAAATGTCTGGCCTCTCTTCGGTAAACATCGACAGTTTTCGTAAATCTTTCCGTGTACGCAAACGTTATTTATGCAGGTTCGAGACACGAAAATCGTTACAATAACAAAGACCCCATTTTCAACACCGACATGTATCAACATTGAAACACTCAGCTTTGTCAGCGTTCTCGAATCTTGAAGATTTCTACGTTACTTACAGTGAGGTGACAAAGTTAGACGATGACTTGTTTCAAGGATTAACTAAACTAAAACGTATTGCCCTGGAACATAATAAGATCTCCCAGATAAACACTGGCATCT